TTACACACTGCACTGATTGCACTGATTGCACACAGCTGTTTCATATCACTCACTCACTATATAACACCCACTCAAACAACCATTCTCCGCTGAGTATTGTTTAGCCTGTACCTCGTTCCGAGTCTCTGTGTTTCCTTGTTTTGCCTTGCCTTGCCTGTTCTCTCGGTTTCTGATCTTTGCCTGTTTTCCTGGATTTTTCCCTCTCGTCTCGCCCCTGTGATTCTGTCTGCCGATCAGTGACCTACGCTGGCCCTAGGACTATTCTTGTGTTTTGCCAGCCATATACCTGTTTGCCATTGATCGACCCTGCCTGTGTTTGACCACTTCTCTTGTTAAATAAAGCTTGCACATGGATCCGCACGCCTCTTGTCTCATCAGCCCCGTTACACTCATATTAAGGACATTTATATATTTTTAATGTAAAACAAGACAAAAATACTGATTAAAATAAAGTAGATTTTTTTGGGCATTGAATATATCCTCTATCTTACCATACTGATATTACAATGCGCTAAACATCAACATAAAGTGCAAATGAATTTAAGTACTGTGAGCATAACACCCACAATTCTGAAGGATGAGTCAAGACTGAAGGCTACAGCTTGACTTTGACTCCCGAGTCGGTTTGACAGTATTCATGCGGTGTGAAAGGCCTTGAATTTGATCGCTGTGTAATACTGGGAGCGGTGAGCTGTTGCAGCCGAAACTGGAAGGCAGGGATAAGCTGGTGATACATAACTTATGTGCTTCCTGACGGGAAAGCTGTGTGTACTGACATGGACAACATTTCCCAAATCCATCATAAGCCTGAGTAGATTGTAGAGACCTTTATGTGCTCTACAATTTACATAAAATTACGATGCTTTTGGTCTGCTCATTCGCCACTGATTATGACATTCATATTGAACATCAACTATGAAAACTATGATAAGGCACTTGAATGATATTTCCCTATCAACCCCAACGGTTCAACGAAAGGGTTGTTTTGGTCATAAACACTACATCCAATTACAGAAAACTGGATTGTTTTCACTTCATAAAGGGTTCGGTATTGTTTTTTCTCTCTCTCTCTTGTTTGCCTCATAATATTCGACAATATAAAATAGCGAGTTGTAAAAATATAAGTTCTCTGGAGGATAATAAAAGTGTCGTTTCTGTACATGTTCTCTTTTGTCACTCTTTTAACATTTATCTACACATTTCATACATTTGTACAGCAGATAGGCAAGCATGGCTTATACATCCTCAGAGAGGCTTGTTCACTGAAAAGTGTCGGATTGTTCCGGAAAGGAAATATTCATTTTTATTTTTTTTAATGTATTTTCAGCTTTGACTCACTGCTGAAATGCTTCTCAAATAGCCCACTGTGACAAGTTCACCGGGTTGCGATGATGCAAGAGGTGCATCATCCACACCGTCATGCATTACATTCAGACTCATTACCGTAACTGCAGGATTACTTGAGCGACGGGTTGGGGTGCGATGAAGGGCAGTCCGTTTCCTCAACAGTGCCATGGTTGAGCTGGAGGCGTTCGCACAGCAAACTGGGAGGTCTGGCTTTGATTTAGAGGGTGTGGGACAAATCATTATTGCTTATTGCTTACAAAGAGTGCAGATCTACAGCGGCAGGAACGTCCGCACCCCGTCTGAAGCGGTGGGCATCTGCCACCCAGGTTTAGGGAAGCTGTATATCCACTGCCTGTGACAGCTCTTATATACTCTTTTTGTCTTTCATTCATTCATTTTAGGGCAGAGGTGTGATCGGCAGGCAGGTAATGGGCAGGTCATCATTGGGTGAAGAGGTCAGAAGGTCAGGGGTTAGTGGCTGAGTGGGTTAGAGAGACAAACGAACAGAAAAAAGGGAGGGAAACAAGGAAAGGAGGAAAGAAACAAAAGATAGAGGAGATTAGTTTCAGCTAGTGAAAGCAGGATGACAAT